CTGTCTCCTGCATCATTGACAGTGTCTCCAACTTTCTAATCCTTCCTAACAATGAATCATACAGCTCACACATCTCCTGGAAGGTGTCCACATAATTCCACTTCTTAAGGACTGGCACTGCCTATGACGGGTTAAAAGAATAAATAAAGTAAACAATGTCACATTATAGTGTTACTTTAGAACAGACTTCAAAATAAACTTATCTGTCCTTCCTTCTTACTGCTTTTTTCTTAATGTCTTCCTGATGATCTTGGAAGATCGCTTTGAGTATGCAGTGTTTTCCTGAAGAAGAGGCTATGAAGAAATAATAAATATAGAATGTGGAAATCAGTACAGCAGTAATACTTGAAAACAGTAGTTCTCAAATGTTTTGGAGCAAGTACCACCCCTGATCAAACAAAAGCATCACCTACAAGTCATCTTCTCATAGGAACCACAGAAAATCTAAATTACCGACATGAGCGCACACATGCAAACACTCACATACACTTATAATAAAAACAGCACTGAGCACTTACCATTTCAGTGGGAGGGGTGAGCCTTTTTAGTAGAGCAAAGCAGATGTGAATTCATTGATTGAGCCTTAATACAATTCACAACTTTGTCTAACAGATTTTAAATCCTCAGGCATTTTATCGACTTCCAAGGCCTCGCGGTGCATCCACTTTGTATCTGGCGCAACCTCTCTAATTTATGCAACTACACAGCTGTGTCAGCCCGTTATCGCTCTAGCACCATCTGTACAAACTCCATAGCATTTTTTCCAGTCAATGCCATTCTCTTCAAAGCTGAAATAGGTGCTCTCCTGTAGTTTTTGTTGGTGATGGCTTACGGAACAGAAAGTCCTCAGGGGACATGCTCTCAAACTCATATCTAACGTAAACGTAACGAAAATGCACAATTGACCAAATCAACGGCATCTACAGACTCATCTAATTGCAGTGAAAGCATCAGCTCAACTTAACGCACTCTATCAGCATACTTTTGACATAATCTGCCATATCAATAATTCTATGAGTGACTGTGTCATTTGAAAGGGGCAGCAGGTCGAGCTGTTTAGCAGCTTTTTCTCCACACTTGACTTGGCTCTTTTGCCAACACCAAACAAAGTTCTTAACAAGTAGTGTGGGGCTTACCTGCTTTAGCAATCCGCAAGTTTGCATTTTCCCCCGTTTCCATTTCAGGAGTCCGTCTCAAAAGTTAAAATAAGTTTTTATTTCAAGCGCATGGATTGAAACACACAGACATTCAGTATATTTTTCTCAAATTAACCTAGAACAGTCAATCCAATTCAATTCAATTTATTTTTATATAGCACCTTTCCAACAAGGTTGCCTCAAGGCACTTAACAATAAAATTGACAATATATTTTGTCAATACAGAACAGAAGACCAGAAGACAATAGAGGAGAGCAACCAAAAACTCCTTAGTAAGGAGAAAAAAAACCTCTAGGGGTCCAAGGTCAACTGGTTGCGCAACCCCTTTGGGCATGTTAACATTATATAATTTAAATAAGGAAACGATGAGGGTATTAATCCATCCAGCCATCATGTCTTCTGTGTGCAGATCTCTGTAGAGCAGTAAATCCCTCCTAAACGATAGCTATATCCACGATGTCCCTCTTGAATCCATGGCAGTGATGCAGCATCCAACTCAGATGGTACCCAGCCTCGGCACAATCCGGACATGTGGGGAGGAGAATGGGATACTTTGGTCAGAACAAATGTATCTACCTGGTAAGCCAACATAGAGACACACAATGACATGTACAGCAGCACCAGCAGCCAGGGTTGCAGCAGGCTATAATGTAAGGTGTGAATAGGCTAGGCTAAAGTAATAGTTCTTCAGTCTGGATTTGAATACTGTTCCAAAATCACTCAAATTCTCTTACCTCTCTATTTACTGAAGATAACATTTTTAAAATACATTACGTCACTTACGTTTGTAGCACACACTCCTATAGAATGGTATAGAATTACATAGTAGCTCTTGTGCCCACTCAAGTATTAGTGTGCACTGTATCATAGTACGTAGGCTGCATATTTGACACATAATATCATTTTATTAAAATAGAAAATATGAAAACCAGTCCTAATTTTTCAGTGCACACAACAAATTTCCAGGATCATCTGGCATAACACCTGGGGTTGCTCCCTGTACCACAATTTGAGAACCACAGCTTTAAAATATACACTGTAATCAGGTATTTCAAATGAAGTCCATTTTCTTACCCCTCACTCTGTGAGTTGATGCAGTTGGTACTGAAGAACCATGTCTCTTCCTATAAAATGTCTATGTCTCCATACAACTTCAGGAAAGCAGGCTTTGGAGGAATTAAACAGTTTAATACAGGTAAAATGGAACAGGACAGAAAATTTGTCCCAGATTTATCTAAATTGCTAAAAAACAGTATCCCAAATAGTTTAACAAAAAAAAAACAGTAAAAACAGCAGGATTAAATGCATTATTGTTCTTTTGGTTTGTGCTTTTTCATGCATCAAGTATAAAAAACAGGTTGGGGGGAGGTTTTTCCTTACAAAAATGCTTAAGTCTTGCTTTTCACATACATAACAACATAAACATTTCAACTTAAATAATCATAAAGATTGTTAAATCTGTGCTTGTACTACCTATTCATGATCACGATCCAGTGTTTATCTCACATCTCTGCTTGAAATTGAAGTGCTAAAGGATGTTAGGCAATCATGTTCTCCTATCCCCAGTTTTTCAATTTTTCATAAATATCTTGAGATTGCTTTATTCTTAGAATGGAGTACACTTAAATATTGTACATTGAGACAATCTCCTAGAAACTGACACAGAGATGAGTGAATTTGCAAGTAAATGCACATTTTGAAATTCAAGGTGTGGGTGGGCTGTGTATCAATAGCCAATATCATAAAAACATTTCAGTGCCAGTACTGGACATCTGATTTTAGTCTGTCAAAGAGAAATAGAAATAAGACACAATTACAGTATGTGTCCCTTTCTATCTTAAACATGCAAATGTATAGAATGAAAAACACCTCATATTACATCTTACTGTACATCAGTTAACAATATTGGTAGCAGTGAAGTATTATGACATGTTAGTTAAATCCTGATGTTCCTTTTTTTAAGGCAACACTTGTGATTACATTAAAATATTTAAGATCCATTTAATTTTGTTAATCAGTGATTAATTTAATGTAATCATAATCACACAAACACACAAAACATACTGATATTCAAATGCAAAACAACCACCCAGCCCAACTGTCATGGATAGATTGAAAATCAAATTGCAGGTGTTGATATAGAGGAATTAGCTAGACTAACCAAAGGTGAAGTTCCTTTTATAGTCATGTGATTACCCAAAAAATAAGGCGCTATATCTCGGGAACAAAAGCAACACAAATGCCCAAACCAGCAGAAACCAAGCACTAAGTAATGTGACGGGTTTCATTGTTTGTGCTGTTTGTAGAAGGGACAACTTCATAGAGCTGTCACTAGTTGCTATGAAAAACCTAACAGGATGCACTGCAATCGATAAGTGGCTGCCCAGCTTACAGAAGCATACAATTACATTGGGAATATGTCAGATATTAAACTGAGAAGACATTTGACAACTGTGTGGAAGCCTGAATTAAATTCTTCAATAACAATATAACATCAGAGTTAGGAGAATCTCTGATATAAAATAATTAGAAGGAAGTATTACCTTTTGGTGAAAGGAGGCTACAGTACATTAATTTACTATATTTTGTTGTTTGTTATTCGTTCATGCTTGCTTGGGACTCCTGAGTAATTTAATATTCTTCAAGGTTTTATTTGATAGGTAAAAAGCAAACAAAACATTGTTTTTTTAATGCTTGGTGTGTTTACATTCTCTAGATTTACAAGATTGCTCATAAGGGGAAATGTTTGATTCTCATCATTTGGAAAAGTGCACACACTTTCTTTGTGTCCTCTGTGACTGCCTAATGACTGTTTCTAATCACCTCTGAGGCACACTGTTTAGACTCCCACAGGATACAAAAATGACATAAAACTATTCAATACAGTCTATAATCCTATCCTTCAGTCTTTTGCAATGATCAGAGTAGGTAAGTATACTTTGTTTTTGACTATATTAGATTGATTTAGTCTTTCCTTACTAAATTATTGTACACAATCAGGGGTAAATAAATATGTATTTTATGACCACAAACTACTTTACGCTAATTACAGTAAATATTTAATGGAGTCCATGTGGTAAATTGTATTTTCTATTGTAAGAATGTATGTGTACTATTTGTCTGTTACTTATATACTGTACATGAGAAAAAGTCATGTTAATATTTCACAATTTATAATTCACAAAATCTTTACACATATAATCACAGTGACTCCAGATAAATTACGACTGTGGGCATTTATTTAGAATTATACTAAGGGCAAACTGCAATTGTGTTATTGGAGACTGTAGATCCATTGCAAAGCTCATGGGACATATCTAGGACTGAGTGAGCTTTTACACATTAAATGAATAGCCTTATACTCTACATGAGTATTTATTTTCTATTAACAGTAAACTCTGTGTTAAACAGAAGCATGTTAAGTGAACATGTTGTGCTAAGAAACAGGTCAATTCCATAAATAATTAGATTTAGAATGAGTATTATTTTTAATTTGATAATATGAGCTAGGTTGCATGTCCACAATTATCACTATAATGTTTCAAAGTATTTAACATTTTCTTTTTTTGTGCATTTCTGTATAACGTCTTAGAAAACATAATAAATATGAGAGTAAGCATTAATAACACGAACCAAACAGGATCAATGGTTTAATTTGAAATAGCTTAATTTCAAATTCCATTTTGAATAGTGCTAATTTGAAACTTAGTTAGCTATTAATGTTAATAAGATTGAATTGTCTAAGGGATGTGTGTGAATAGTTTCCAGGTTTAAAAAATGAGGTTCTGTCTTTTACATGAAAAAAAATTGTTTTCTTCTTTCATGTTTCAGAATAATTTAGCCATGGATGACACAAACCAAACAAGGGTCACAGAATTCATTATTGTCGGATTCCCAGGACTTCAGGACCCAGAGAGGAAGGCTATTCTGTTTGTTGTCTTCCTCACATTGTATCTTATGATTTTATTGGGAAATCTCCTTCTTATTGGCATATATGTAGCAGATTCAGGCTTACACACCCCAATGTATATGACAATATTCAGCCTGGCCATCATTGACATCACCCTTCCGACATGTACTGTACCTACAATGTTAAATGTGTTCAGGTCTGCTACATATGCTGTCCCCATACAAGCTTGTTTCACCCAAACATATTTCTTTCTGGCATTGGGCTGCGTTGAATGTTTTATCCTCTTAATAATGGCTTATGACAGATATCTTGCCATCTGCCACCCTCTTCACTACCCCACCAAGATGAGCCACAGATTTACTTTAAAACTCATCACTATATGTTGGTTGGGAGGATTCCTGTGCCCAATTCCTGCTTTTAGTTTGGGGATGACAAAGCCATACTGTGGACCCAACAAGGTTTTACAGTGTTTCTGTGACTACTCTGGAGTGCTACGCTTGGCTTGTGCAGACATTGTCTTGAGCAGCTATGTGGCTTTAGCTGTCGGTATGTGTGTGTTATTTATCCCTATGTTCTTCATCCTGCTATCTTATCTAAAGATAATTAAGTCAGTGCTCCAGATTGTCAGTTCTGAGGGAAGATTCAAAGCCTTCTCTACCTGCGGCTCACACCTGCTGGTCATTTCTATCTTCTATCTTACTGCAGCAGGTGTTTATATCTCCTACAGGATTCCTGGGAATTCTGTGGATCTGCGAATCTTTGGGGCGGTCTTTCAAAATATATTCCCTCCTCTCATGAATCCAATCATTTACTGTCTGCGAACGAAAGAGATCAGGGCTAGCTTGCTTAAAACCTTTAATGTTGGACGTTTCTATCCGCTTAGGACAGAGATCAGATCTCGTGTGATAGCTTAAGTCACAGCATGAAACAATAATTTCTCACATATAAGCATTCCTGCATTACAACCACTAGTGAAACCTATTAGTGGATTTAAAAACAATAGGAACAGTTTAGTACACATCTTCAGTGCAAACACTATATTGCCATGTGTACACAGTGTATATCTTTACAAAGCTTGTACTTTGAGACTTTTACTTATTTCCAGAAATCTGTAACAAATATAAATCTGGACTACTTTACATCCTGAAGAAGTTAGAACCAAAAACAACACTAATCACTCCATTTACTTTTATTATTTTTGAAATAATAATGTATTAATATCATATGCATGCTTGACTTATTATTTCTGCACTGTCTGGAATTGAGGAATGCTCTTAGAGCATTTAATACTCCGTGGATATCTGCAGAATATCATTTGTACTACACATTCCTCAGGATAATGTGTACACAAACCTTTATTCCAGAATGCAATACAGTAAACAAATTAATTCTAACAAAGCAAATAGTAGTAAAATAGTAATGATATATAAGTAAAATAGTCATGATATGGTAAATAAGAAGTAAAAATATAGGTTACATTTAACTTTAGCAATATCCTTAAACCTGCCTCTGGCATGAAACATATCATTTGCTTATTCGCTCAGATTTTCATTTTTTTAAGAAGTACACTTTGATATGGCAAGGAACCTGCAATACTAGATTTTGTTGTCAGCATATGCATGCATAACCTAAGAACCGTAACATATGATCACATAGTTAATAAATTCAGGTTTAACATGAGGTAAAATACTACATACGGTAAATGTCTCACTGTGTAACAGATAATAAGGAGACCTTGCTTGGTATATTTTTTTCTTAAAAAATAATGTAAGTGAAGTGAGTACTGAGAAGACTAAGAATAAAAAAACGACACATCTTGTTGCTTCATCCAAAGTTACTTAAATTGCTTGGTAGCTAGCTAGGTATTTTACTCTAACAGATCAACTGAGGTACTTTGCTCAAGAATACAACAGCAGTGTCACACACAAAGTATGCACCTGGCTTTAAACATACAGCTTTTTAACAAAACAAAAGACTTCTCAATCACCCTTCAACTACACTTCTACATAATCACAATACAGTTTAAACTAAAGTTCTATTCCAAACTTCACCCAGACAATTACAATAAAGCTATGCAGACTGACAATTATAGTTATTTAATAGGACTCTTGCCAAACACTGCATGAACTGCCTTAAAAAGATTTCTTCACCACAAAGCCTTGTGAGCTGAGTGTTATTTTAGAACATCTTCCTCCCTCCTCCAAGACTTAAAAAAAAGTGATGATCCCTGCTCCAAAACTCTTTGTTAATTCCTCCCTCAAATTTTAGAATCACGTTATTGAGTTTTGGTTGCAGAGACAATTAAACTTGTGTTCAGCAATGTAATAATACAGCATTGCATTAGGACTATGAAATGTAAGTCAAATGCAAATGCTGGGTGAGAGGCAGATGAGATCAGAAAACCTGCAGGCAGCATGCAGACAGGGAAACTGCACAGAACTGTGTATACACAAAGACGCTGTGCAGGTGATGTGCGGAAGCTGCACGGGCTACATATAGGTGGCATGCAGACAGGGGAACTGCGCTGCAGATGGATATGCAGACAAATGGCATTATGCTGTGTCAGGCTAGGAAACCAAGAAGTGAACAGTCCAAGTATGCAGCCGAGCAGGTGAGGTTAAAGCAAGTAAATCACACACAGGAGATATGTTGAGAGTGGTCTGGGTCAGAAAAGTGAGGGTCAGATCCCAGAAGGCACAGCAGCACAATACAAAGAATGTCTAGAAGATGAGTTGAAAGCAAGCCAGGGACCATGCTGAGATAAAAACCATAGAGATAAGCCAAAGGGTGATCAGGAATGAAGTCATAACAAAGCAAAGGTCAGGATACTAAAAAAGTATGGAAGGTCATGCTGGGTGACAAACATGGAATTGTTGTGTTTTTTTTAAATTGTGAAAGGTGGTTGCATTAATATTTCATGGCATTTAATAATTGCTAATTTTCTCATATTATCTCACATCTCACAGATATACTGTGATTTGATTAAAAAGAAGTAGTACTGTCAATATTTGTGAATCTATAAAAGTAACATATTTTCTTTAAATAATAAACATTGTAACTTGAATAATTTAAATGAACATAAGTGTAAAACGGTTATATCCTATTAAAATGATTTATTTGGGGGAAAATATTCTATATTAGAAATGTTATTGTAAGTTGATCTCCATGTGAATGCTGTCCAGAAAACAAGCTGATGAGGGGGGAGAGAACAAAGCAAAGTTTTGCAGGAGGGAGGAAGGAGTTTAGAAGCAGAGCAATGTAGGGGATTTTGGAGGAGGGAGGAGGATGTCCTAATATGTACACTGTAATATAGGGAGAGTAACAACTCTCTTCCTCAGGAGGATAGGTTTTTTTTTTTTATTTTGCACCTTACAGATTGGAGTGAGATTTTCCCAGTACCTCAGACAGGTACAGTATGTAAGCACGTCATGCAAAAACTAATGAAATAACAAGAAAAAAGTACAAAAGGAACAAAAGCATTCAGAGGAAAGAATCTGAACAAGTAAAAACATCAACCCTGAGTGTAATAAATTAAAAATAAATTAAATTAGACTAATAGTAGGACTAGCTGATCAGATGGTCTCCCAAAATAATGCAAATACATTTTTAAAACTGTAATATTTCCTGATTCATACCAAACTTTGTGGAAGCTCCAAAAACTCCTTCTGGCAGGGAAAATACATTATAAAC